GCAGGTGACAGCCCCAGCTCCGTGTGCCCCCCATCCGTGGGCCCACAGTGCCTCTTAGTGGCCATAGGGACGGAGATGCAGACCGGGCTGTGCGGGGGCCCACCGCAGCCCAAGCCGGGCGCGGGGACAGCATCGCACCCCGGGGCGGGTCGGTCCCCGAGGGCAGCAGCAGCTGGGTGACTGGAGACAACCAGCACCGACCCCAGTGCCACTGCTGCACCGCGACCCAGAGGGATGTGGCTGTGCCTGCAGCCTCTCCAGTGTCATCTTGTGCTATCTCATCTCCTGTGCTCAGCTACATCTCCCCATCTCCTTCTCCTCCCAGGAGGACACAAGCATCTGCTCCCAGGGAAAGCCCCTGCTTTCACCCCCAACATCATCCAGACAGCACAGCAAGCATCAACCATCACTGACGGCAGAAAATCAGGCTATTTTGGCCAGCATCAGTGAGTAAGGACCCCTGACTCTGGCTCCCACTCCATTTCTCCTCCATCATCCTCCCACTTCCCCTTGGCCTCCGTTGATCCAAGACCTACAGGTGGATTTTGTGGAAGAGCTTAACAATCCCATGATGAGTCCAATCTTTTCCCAGATGTGGCAAGATGTGCCCAAGAGTATCCGACCTAGAAGGAAAAGAGATCAGGTTAGGCTGATCCAACCTAGAGAGTATCCAGATGATGTGGTTTGTGATCCCTCCTGGCTGCTTCCACAAGCCTTGAAGGGTCACTTTCCCCTAATAGGGGGGAACAGGGATGTGGGGTGGGAGAGAGGCCCTTTACTTGGTGATGGTGCCATCAATGTCCGAGATCACCACTTTGTCATTCCAGTTCCACAGGTAGATGGTGGCCTCACAGCGGCACGTGCCCTGGTACTGAGTTGTCACATTGGATGCCACCTGATTGGGGCCATCCTGCAGATTCAGCCTTCCCTGTGGCAGAAAGGGAAGAAAAGTGGTACACCAGCACCAATTCCCACCAGCCCAAGGCTTGCCAGAGGCCAGACTGCCACATGACCAGACTAGAGACCCCAATCCTCTACAGGGTGGCCATCCAGGGCAAAATACTTGGATATTCTATAAAAAAAATGAGGTCAGGAGTGGAAAAATCCCTGTTTAAGGGTTGCCTCACCCCTACACACACAAGCAGGCAGTGAAGCAGGAGGAGTAAAGCACATACGAGTTGTTCAGAGGAGAGTCGCAGGGATTTCTTGTAGGTTGGCCGAGATTTCTGTGCAGGGGCATCCACTGCCAACATGTCCCCAGGGTGCAGGGGCTCATTGTCACTGGATGACACCTCCTCCTCCTCCTGCCTGCACAAGGAAGGGAAGAGCACATTGGCTTTGCAGACCACAGCTTTCCCCATGAGCACCACAGGGTTACGTGGAGGGGACCCAAGACAACCCATCCACTAGGAAGGAGCCACAGAGGAGTTTGGACCAGGGTCAGCCAGAGCCTTAACAGAGCTTTCTGCCCTCATACATTAGGTAGACTCAGGAATAACTGGTCATTGAGAAGAGATTAAGAGCATGCATAGACTCCTAAAGGCAACCAGGGAAGGAGGCACTCACCTCTGCTGGGCAGAGACCTGCTGCAGTGTCCCCATGTTGGCTTTCCCTGGCCTCGACTGCTGCAGGCAGAGAACAGTGTCATTAGTACCTTGGTGCCAAGGGCAGGAGCAGGGGCTGCTTTGCTTTACTGCCACTTGGAGCAACAATACCCAAAGAGGTGGCAACACATCCTCCTGTTTTCATGAGAAGATTGCCCATGGAAGATGAACCATGGTGCTGTGGTGGGGCAGGGAGACCAACAAGCACCCACAGTGCCTGGGCTGTTGCATGAGGGGCACAAGGTCCACTTTCCTGCATGACCAGTCATTGGTCATGTCTGTTAATGCTGCTCACATGTTAACAGACCTGAAGGGACAGCAGCAGCCTTGAGAAATCAACTTGCCACCAGGTTTCTCTGGGTGCTCTTGTATTTAGCCTCAGGCCATCCCCAGCACCCTGCTGCTGCTCTCCTACGCCCACTCCTGCCAGCCACCAGACTCCTGTGCCCTGGGGACATGGTTGTCACAGCCACCACTGCAAATACCTCTTCTGCTGGGAATTCTCTCCTCCTCCAGGAGAACCACCACCTGCTGCCTTTCTTGGGCATCTTCTCCTTCACTAGCCGGTCGATGGTGCTCTGTGAACATGGCAGAACATGCGATGAAGTCAGTCCTCTGCCCAGAGAGGCTCACTTGCCAACAGGCTAAGGAGACCCTTGTCCAAGCAGGGTTTCCTTTGCAGTTATTCACAGGATAAGGTGTGCCACTCCTGCCACAGTTTTGTGGTGAAGGGTACAGTGACTTGTTCCCTTCGTGAGGCTTGTGGAGAAAAAAGATAAATATAGGATCTGGATGCCTTATTCCATACATCTCAGCCAGGTCTACAGAGCCCTGGAGCAGGCTCATGCAGTCCCAAATCCTCCAGACTACCAGGACCCCTGGCTCTGCCCAGCCTTGCACAGATACAACCTTCAGAATAGGAGGATTTGGACAAGGAAATCTCTGCTCTCCAGGCATCAGTGCTACTCCATTAAAAAGCCACCCTGAGGTACCTCTGAAGGGAAAGGACAGACCTCAGGGTCTGTGAGCTGGAGTGACATTCATTTCTGCCCCAGACTGCCCACAAACCCCAGATGGGCAGCTTGGCCTCCTGCAGCCCCACTACACCCTTCAAGCATGGTCAGCAAGTGTGTTGTGCCACTGACCTCAGGAATGTTCTTTTGGAAAGCCTGCAGGGACAGGACCATGGGAGCAGCCACTGCCCAGCTGTAATACCTGGAAGAAGCAAGAGGGATGGAAACACCACTCCTGGAGTGAAGGCTGTTTCCAGATCACCACCCTACAGCATGGCCAGAAGGTCCCCTCCCACAACTACTGCAGTATAATAATTGTCTGGGGTGGAGTCACACTCCTACAGGAGTGTTTCTGTAGGGACAAAGGGGCCACACTGGTTATCTTGAGATGAAGCAGTAGGAAGAATGGGCAACTCACTTCTTGTTGATCAGTATCACCAGGTTCGGGTCATCAATGAGTCCTGGATTCTGAGCAAACTGCTGGTAGGAGACCATGTGCTTCATGAACTTCTCTGGTGGGACAAAGGCTGTGTCATGCTACTGATGTATAGAATGGATTTCAGGACAGCAGATTCCCCCTCCCACCTACCACGAGAGATCTGCCTGCTGCCCCCCAGGCCTCCGCACAGCGACAGGGCAATTGCTGGCATCACAGCAGGGTCAGAGTCTGTGGGGATGTTGGTGGGCAAGTCATATGGCAGCTGGACACACAGAGGGGTGCTGGGGTCTGCCACAGGCTTTGAGTTCTGCTCTGTGTCACTGCCATCAAGAGAAGAAACAGCAGCAACATCAGGCAATTAACTTTACACATACCTCCATCCTTCACTGCAAGGGAATTGCTCAAGAAGGTCTGAGCTTGGTCAGCTGGGACAACCCATACCTCCTGGGGAAATAGAGGGCCACCTGCTCCTCATCCAGGTTGGAGAGGTCTTCCAGGTAAACACCACTGGGATCCAAGTGAGGACTTCTTTTGATGGATCCTCAATGCACAGACAGAAGGGAGATAGCTTAGCTGAACCACCTTTCCAGCATCTATCAAGAAAACTAAAAGCATCTTCCCCTATTGTATTTGTAGGTCTCATTTCTCTCCCTACTTGAAAAGCTGCTTTAAATCAACAGCAACAGAAATACCTCAAGACACCCACACTGGCATGAGACCACTTGCCAAGAGGCCACAATGGACAGGCCAAAGTCCTGCCTATGTTCTGCTATGACAACCTGAAGGTGCCATTTGAAGAACATGCAAGAGAATACTTTGCGATCTCCCTCTTTGTACAATGAGGGATCCCAAGTGTCACTCCTTCAGGGAGAGACTTTTGTTCTGAATTTATGCTGGCTGGAAGAGTAAGCTTAGGCCAGGTAACAGAGAAGTCCTTAAATACACAGTGAAGAGAGACATAAACATGCTTCACTGATTTTCCACCTGACTTGGCATGCTCAGGATGAAGACACAAGTCAGGCCAGGTGCTGCCAGAAACTTCAAGTTAAGGTATAGTCTACCCTGCTGAGAAATCTAAGTATGTATAAGTCTCTTCTAAAAGAAGAGACACCCAAGGATGGACTTCAGGAAGGCTTTCTTGCCTTAAGTTTCCTGAGGAGCTGGGCAGTCATCAAAAGGAAGAAACCTAAGGAATGTCTCTTCAAAGCAAAGCAGATGGTAGCACATGGAGAAGGCAAAGCAAACATCATACCTCGAATACCCATGGGTGGTCATGAAGGAATTACATTGAATTTAATTCAGTGTAATACAGCCCAGGCCCCCATCCAAGTCAGATACATCTGCAGGCTCAAACACCACTTCTAGCAGCACCAGTCACCTACTCACCTTCCCTCCTCTGGCTTTCCAGCTGGGGCTCAGGGCCCTCCAAGCCCACCTGCCTCTGAGCTGCAGCTCTCTCAAAGGGCTCCACATCTGGATGAACCTCTGGCACAACACTCCCACCTCCCTCCTGTTTCTCTTGTGGGGCTGAGGAGGCCTCCAACAAGCTCTCTGCCTTCACAGCACTAGGGATGTCCTTCTGCCTGAGGAGGCCATTCTCATCTTGGGGTGCAGGTGTTGGCTCAACAACAGACACAGTGGAGGAACAAGGTGCACCCTGATGTCCTGCTGGGCTTGGACCTCCTCGCAGACCTTCAGAGGCAACAACAAGGTGGGTTGCCTCATCCACTGTGGCAGAGACAGTAGCTGCTGCAGTAGCAAAGGTCTTTGCGAACTTGGCTGGTTCAACTCGTTCCGATTTATTCGCCTTTAAGAAAGCGGAACAACAGATTTGAGGATGAGATGTTGCCCAAAGCATCAGGCAGAAGAGGACAACTCCTCTAAGACTGTCTGGCCACAGGCTCCTCCACTTTCTGCAGGCCTTCCAGACACCCCCTTCCCACCACCTGCTAGAGAAGAGTAAGGGCAGGGACTCACCTGAGGGAGCCTTCCCCAGGTCCACTGCACATGGGACTCAGCCCCTAGAGGAAAACTCTCCTGTGGTCTGATCTCCAGCTCAGAGTCACTTTTGGGAGAAGATGGATGGCTCAGAGTGGGGCTACAAGAAAAGGGAATGTTGGACCTCATCTACCCTACAGTCCCATGCTTTCCTATCACTGCAAGGACATTTAGGGCCAAGAACCCTGTAAGGTTGGTTTCCCATAGAGTCAGTTCTGCCCCATAAGACCATCACTTAGAAATGACCAAGACCTATGGGAAGCCCAAGGAAGCAAAGCGCTAAGTCACCAGCAGTCCAGAAGCAGCTCAGCAGCAGAAGAGCCCTGTGCACACAGGCTTCTTGCATCTGTGACCAAGGCCACAAATGTCCCTCACTGGCTCTGAGCTTTCCTCCAGTCACACCATGTCACAGCAGGAAAACCCTCCTCTTCTGACACCCCCAAATCCCTTTTCCTCACCACCTTCCCAGCCACAAGGCATGTCCCCTGCTATCACCAAAGCAGAGCAGATCACCTTGGCTCTGCCCATTACCTGTCCACAGAGGCCAGCTCCCCATCAGAGTAAGGATGCATCTCTGGGGACTGCAACGACCTGGCTCCTTCTTCAGGGAGATCAGTGAAGGAAAAACACACTGGATCACTGCAGAGGGGGAAAGAGGACAGTTATACTGCTCTCAGGCACCGGCCTTCACACCTGGAAGGCTAGCAATACCCAACTTCACCATTTTCACTGGCTTTCTAATCCACAGGAGGCTGGGGTCCAGCTCAAAACACTAGCCCCATGTTTCAGTACTGCTGGGCATCACCAAGCAAACCTACAGGCTTGACCTACCACATCACCCTGCCCAGACCGAGCCACTCACCTGAGGGCTGGCAGCTCGCACAGCTCCTGCGCAGACATCTCACTTCTGGTGTCCTTACAGCCTTCTAACTCAGAGTCCAAGACCTCCTTCTGCTTTGGTTTCCTCCTGCATCGCCTCCTCTTGCGTGGGGTCACTTCAGCTCTGGAGGACTCCTGCCCATGAAGGGGCTGAGCGGCATCTTCTGGGCTCTCCTCCCTTGGGATGGGGGATGTGCAGAGGTTGGAGGAGATGCTGCCCTGCAACAGGGATGGAAGATCCTGTCAGCTCCAGCACCGTCTTTTCCAGGCTGGCAGCTCACGGCTGTCATCTACACAGCATACACCACCAGCACAACCAACACCAGCGAGACCCTCAGCTTGGGGGTGGTTTTGTGGGTAGGCTCAAAAAGGAAAGATTTTGTACATACAAATACATGAATAAAAAAAAACAGGGCTATTGAGCCACAAGCTGAAGACATCTTGAACATAAGCAAGGAGAGGCAGGCAGGAGATGGCACCATGAGACCAGAATTACAAAGGCTGAAGATAGGCTCCAGCTCCAGAGCCCTCTCCCTGCTCTCAGACCCAGCCCAAGCCAGCAGCAACCACAAGTCAGCTTGGGAGAGAGCTGCCAAGTTTTCTGGAAGCCACAACTAGTTTCCTCCCAGTTCCCAGTAGAGTAGGCAGCCTGCCACAGCATCTGGCTGACTCTCATCCCTGTCACAAGATCCCCAAAGAGGCCAAGTTCCAAGATATCTGCCTGGCTGGCCAGCTGCCATGCCCAGGGAGGAAGGACAGTCTGGGATGCAGATATTGGGTCTAAAGCTCCTCCCTCATGGTGCTCCACTGCCCAGATTCTCCACATTGGCTACAAGATCCTTTGAGTAGGAACCTTTCTGGACAAAGAAAACATCAGAGGTGATAATGGAGTCATCCTGGGGAGGAAGAGCAGTCCAAACCTGGTCCTTCCACCTCAAGCCTGCACTTCCAGGTGGTCACAGCAGGACACAAACCACTTCACCAACCTCATTTTCCTCTGACTCTTGGACGAAGAAGGCCTCTCCATTGTCATCCAACTTCATGTGCAGGTCCACATGCTCCCCGTTGATTTCAATGTCAACCTGGCAAGGGGCAGAAGAAGCCTGTCCATCTGAAAACACCTCAGCATACAGGAAGGCACTGCCCTGGGGAGGGGAAAAGTTGGGGTTGCTTGCAGGGCTGACAGCCACCCAGCCTTTGAGGCATGGGACCTCTCCCACTGTTTCAGGGAAGCACAGTGCTCCCTGGAAGAGGATGGGTTCCATTTGGGACATCCCCTCCAAAAGTTTGGCAAGCACCCCTTTTAGCAGGGCTCCCATTCCCCTCAAACAAAGTTCTCACATAACCTGTGGGTTACCGGAGGTCTTAGGTCTGGAGACACCAGAGAGGAAGCCCAGTCCCAGGGCAGGCACCACTTACCACCTTCTCCTTGGAGCGCAGCACACCCAGCTTCCCAAAGCGCACGTGGAACGGGGAGCACTGGAAGGAGTTATCGGGCTGCCTCACCACAACCACATCGATGCAGCCTGTCAGGGTGGCAGGGTTCAGACCCTGGTACAGCTCCTTCACCGTGACAAAGACGGTCTCGGCAAACTGCCCCACATAGTTCATTGTTTGAGACTGCAAAAGAGAGACGAGAATAGACTCAGGTGGGGGAAAAGGGCTCCAGCAGCTAGATGCAGTGTGAGTTTGCCCTTCCCTGGTCCATGGTGGGGCTCACAGCACAGCCGTGCCTCCAGCCACACACAGTGGCCACAGACTCCAAACAGCCCTCATGCAGCCCCTCCTGCAAGCCAACTGTCAGCTGCCTCCTGGTCAACACAGAGAAATCCTTGGAGTATTTTCTAGCAGATCTATGTCAGGGTGCAGGTGTTGGTCGCAGCCCCTGGGGCAGAGGAGCCCCTTGCTCCATTTGGTCAGCACTTGGCATCAGCAGGAGAATGGTCCTGGTGTCAGCACATCACACCAGAGGCTGAGCCCAGCTCCCCGAGCTGCCAGCTCTGCACCACGCCATGCTCCAAGGAGAGGAGGATGACACAGGATGAGCACTTCAGAAGGACAATGGATGAACTAAAGGAAACCTCTTGCACTGGCAGCACAATCAGCTGATGACACAGTGTCCCCAGGGGCTCTCAGCACTGCCCCAGCACACACCCAGCCCAAGGGGTGGCTGGTGAGAGTTGGTTCCTTACCCAAAGGGATGAGGGCAAGCAGGTGCCACCCGATGAGCCCTTTGCCCCAGCAGGCACCCAGCCTCTCTGATCCATTCTGCCCGAGCTCAGCCCTGTCCCATTCCCAGCCATCCCTTTGGGAAGCCAGTTTGTGTGGGGAGACACCGTCCTGGCTCCATGACCTCTCCCCCTGGCTCTCCCTGGCAGCCAGGAATCAACCCAAATCCCAGATCCATCCTGGGGGGAGGGGGGGCACAAGGCAGGGAAGCACTAGCTGCCTCCCGAAGCTTCGGTGCCTCCGTCAGCTCTGCTGCAAGCGGGGCCAGGGTCACGGGGCCACCCACCAACCTGCTGAGCCCAGCTTTCCCGGGCACCGCTGCGGGCAGCCCTCCAGCTGCCTTCCCGCTGTGCCGCAGGGCCTGGCAGCCATCAGGAGAGAGCTCCTCACTGCACAGAGGGGATTTCAGAGAGGAGGAACGATCCAGATGGCCCTGATGCTCCCAGGGCAGCGCTGATGGGCTCCTGGCTGGGATATATGTGGGACAGACCTGAAGAGGGGGTTTGGGGTGGGGGCTTGGCCAGTGTCCCCAGGAACAGCCCCACGCTGAGCAGCATTTTCACAGCCAACACAGGGTGCAAGAGCTCAACACTGCAGCCACCCAGAAAAGCATGCTGCCGAGCAACCCGTGCCAGGGCCATGTCCCCTGCACACAGCCAGTGTCCCCCCATGGGACTCCTGTCCCCTCCCCGGGCAGCTGCCTGCACATTGCTGGGGTCCCGCTCAGCCCCAGAGCTCAGGGCAGCCAAGGACAGCTCTGGTACAGCCTCCAGCCCAATGAGCTTAACTCCCTGGGGGTTTCACCCAGGACAACTGGAGACAGACAGGGAACAGAGAAAAGGCTCAGACTGCTCACAGCTCTCAGTCCCACCATGGTTGGAGCAGGTCTATTAGGGAGATGAAGAATAAGTTACACTCTGGAGAGAGATTAACAGGTGGACAGGGCAGGAGAAAGGGTTTTCAAGCCACATTCAACAAATAAACCCTACAAAGAAATACGGTGTCCTGACCCCCCCAACCCCAGAAACAGCAGGGTCACATCCCTTCACCACACAGCTCTTGCAGAAGGCACCAGGGGCCTTCCTCCCCCGTGGAGGTAACATGGCTCACATCTACTAAAAAATACAGATTTTTTTAGTGGCTGCAGCTAAAAAGCCTCACAAAATAAACAAGATATTTTGCTGACACCTGCTCTGGTCCCAGGTGCACCAAGCTGGGCCACCCCACACAGCCACACTCCCCATCCTTCATACACTACAAACTGCCCAGGACCTTCCCTATTACCTGGGCAGATGCTGGACCTCAGCACCTCCTCAGCTTTGGGGCAACGAGCTCAGGAACCCCAAGAGCTTCTCTCTGCCAGCAGGAACACTTGCTCACCCTCAGCTCCTCCTCTCCCAACTGCTTCCTTCCTCTCACCTGAGCAAGGGGAGGGCTCTTTCTCCCAAACAACACCCAGTTCCTATGCCCTTCCTCCCGCTGAGCCTATGAGGGTTCCTGGGTGGATCTAGGGAGGCAGGTGACACCTGCATGGAGCAGCTGTGTCTCATTGCAACCAACTCAGAGCAGCTGTGTCTCCTCATTGCAACCAGCTGGTTTGCTCCAGCATCCCCAAACAGAGCTGCCAACTGCCTTGCCCTGATGGACTTCCTTCTTCTCTCCTTCTGCAACCCATCACCATGCAAGGCCACTGCAGCTCAACCCATCAGGCTGGAGTTACCCAAGATAGTCCTTCTTCCATTTTCCACACGACACCTCTCAGTGTTTAACCCCTCAGAGCAGAAACTACACAAAGCCCCAGCTCTCAGGGCCCCAGGGCAGACTGAGCCTCTTGGAAAAGCTACTCACAGAGACTGAGTGCCCAGCTCTGGGAAAGATCTGCCCTTTAAAAGCTGCCTTGCAATGGCTGGAGACCATCTTCATGCAGCTGTGGCCGGGCTGAGGACAGTCCAGCATGGGAAGTATCTTGCCAAGGAGACTGTGTCAGGTGCTGATTTCTCCCTCCTCTCCAGGGCTGTAAAGATTGTTATAGGGTCATAGGGACTAGGACCACAAAGGGTGGGTAGGGCAGTAATTGCTGTGTTGATCACTTAATTGCTCCTGGATATAAGATTGGGTGCAGCTTGGCTAGGTTCAGACTGGGAGGAACATGGAAGGTGCTGGTAGGGAGGAATGAGGCTTTACCAGAGCCCAAGGTTTTAGGGGATTTTCAGGGAAAACTTTAGCTGCCCCTCAGTGATGGCAGAGTTTGGAACAGTGAATTTGGGTGAGCCTCTGGATGTGACACCTTGGGTGCTTTGTCCTCATCAGGGCATCTTAGACTAGTGCTTGATGATGCCACCAGGGTGGGTCTCACCTGGGACAGTGGTTTACACTGTGCAAACCCCAGAGCTGGAACACAAAAGCAAGGACAAACCTGGGCTGCAGATGCCTGGGACCTGGACAAAAGGGCCACAGATGACATTTAAACAGCGGACACCATCTCTTCCTTAGCCTACTGAATGCATCCTCAGGTGAGGACAAAGAAGAAAGGCAAAGCCAGCATGAGCACCCGGGCAGCTCAGCCTTGCTGTGACTCCAAGCCCCCATCCTCTGGAGCACTGGGCATTTGGGCACCCTGCAGAAGTAGCTTCCCCTGTCATTGACCTCCAAGGTGATGTCCATACCTCCCTCTGTGCCACACTGCAGTCCAGCACCGGGGCATTTCACTTACCTCTTCTTTCTCCCCCAAAAAGCTTAAAGCACTTTTAATCACCATAGTAATTTTTTTCAAAGCCATACAATTATTCTCGGTTCCAACCAGCTGTTTTTCTCACCCTCTCTTGTTCCCCCTTCCTGTTTTTTTGGAAGGTGAGCCTTTCCAAAAACATCCCAGTGTTTCCAGTGCCTCTCCAGAAAAACTCCATCCATCTACTTGGCAGTTGGGAGCACTCACTGCCCAGGAGGCTCCTAAATTTTCCTCTAGTCCAAACAAGTTGTGTCTTCAGTTGCAGGGTGGGAGAAGGGACAAGCCACGTGAAAGACGGGCTTGTTTTTCCCCCTCTTTGTATTTTGACAGCTGCTGCAGAGGAGCCAGGCCACAGCCAGCTCTTTGGCTGCCTCCAAGGTGGGGGATGATGGGGCTTTTGCCTCCCTCCTTGGTCATCGCATTATTTTTCTGGGATTTTCCCAGCTGCTTAAGCTCTTTGAGCAGCCTGGCATTCCCTTGGGGCACTTCTCCTTGGATCCATGCTGCCTGCTTCTTCATGGGCCTGGGGTGAAACGTCTGGAGGGAGGATGGATGATCCAGCTGTAAGAGAGACCCAGGAAGCTGGCCAACCTGCCTGTCTCCATGTGGGCTGAGACCTGACACAGCTCAGCTCATCAGAGACACTGCAGAGGAGCAAGAAGCTCTCCCGGAAAGGAGGGAAACTGAGTTGACAGAAAAGGTCTTGCTTTGCTGTGCAGAGAGGTGAGGCTGGGGCTGGGATGGGAGGAATCCTTCCAGCCACAGGGCTTGGCTCGTAGCTGGGGACACCAGTACTGTCTGACGGCTGGATGCCCACCTTGCCAAGGCACTTACTGCAGCATCCAAATCTTCTCCCCACCCCAGAGCCAGGAAGCCACGTTCTCCTGCTCCCTTTCCCACACTGGAAGGATGCTCTGCAACATCACTGCTCTGGGGCCTGGCCCATTTCTCCCTGGACCTGCCCTGTCCTTTAACTTCACCAGCATCCCCCTTCCCCTGGGTGGATTTGCCAGCCAAATCCAAGGCTGTGATGCAAAAAGCAAAGATGCCTTTTCCTGAATTCCATGCAGGAATGGAAGGAGCCAAGCAGGATGCTGCAAGCACCAAGTGCCAGGGGAGGGATGGCCAGAGCAGAGGAGTTTCCTGGGCTGGGGGACCCAGCTGTGGCCAAGGTCCCTGTGCCAGGCAGCAAACTGGAGTAGGTTCCTGGTGCTGGTGGGGTTGTCACCCCCAACATCCCTCCAGGAATCCCTGTCAGAGGTTGGGATGTGAAAGGGCTCTCCCAGCAACCTGGCCCCTTCTCCCAGCAGCGAGAAGCAGCCTTTTCAGAGCGCAGGAAGGCTGGCAGAGCTCCTGCCCCTCTCAGCTGGCCAGGCTGGGGCTCCCGTTTCCTTTCCCAGATCAACAAAGAGCTCCAGAGGCTTGTGAAAGGGGTGATTCAGCAAAACAGGATGAGAGGAGAGGCAGAAACAGCAAGTCAGCCCAGCTGGATGGGGTGAAATTCCCATCCTGTGAGAGCCACAGGGAGCAAGGCTCAGGTGTCCTGCTCCTCCGGGGATGGGGGCAGTTCCTGGAGATCCAGCTGCTCTGAGTGCTGGCCCCGGAGCCAGGAATACAACAGGAAAACAGCAGTGTTGGGGTTTTAAATTTTATT